GGAATAATTAAAAAAAGAAAAAAAAATAAATAAAATATACAGATGAAATAAATTTCGATTGGATAAGAAAATACGATAGAGCGAAAAAAGGAGGTAGAGGAAAAGAAGAAAAAGAAGAAGAGAAAGAAGAATTTCGCTTTATAACCAAAACAAGACGCGGCTTTGCATCGGCCAAAGTTGGACCGAGAGCAACGTGCCACGTAAAGCGAGTGATTTAAAGCGACGCAGGTTTGATAATCCTTCGCGAGAAAAGAGAGGAGGGTAAAGAGGGAATGAAAATGAGAAGAAGAAGAAGAAGAAAAAGAAGAAGAAGAAGAAGAGGGAGAAGAAGAATAAAGAATAAGGAGAAGTAGAAGCGTGATCGCTGAGCCCGATTCTTACGGAATCAGGCGCAAAGAAAACGGTGCAGGAGAGAGAAAGAGGGAGAGAAAGATGGAATAAAAGGAAGAAGTAAAAGAAAAAGGAGGAGGAGGAGAAGAAGAAGAAGAAGAAGAACACAAAAGAGCGACTTCCCCTTCGGAATCGAAGGTAACGTCGTACTGTCGTGCAAAAGGCATAGAATGGGCAACGATGGCTCAAATGGCCCGTATTTCAATAATGATAAATCACCCTGGTTCGACGCACCGACAGACATGGCCGGTTTGAAGATCTCACAGTGAGATATCCCCGTCAGGGGTCTATCTCTTGCCTTCCATCTTATACGGTCCTGTCTTTCTCTCACTCTCTCTCTCTCTCTCTCTCTCTCTCTCTCTCTCTCTCTTTCTCTTCCTTTCTCTCTCTCCCTCTCTCTCGCTCTCTTTCTCGTCCTATCCCTACAGGACGCTTCAAGATCAGCTCGTGACTTATATTTGCTCGACAGAAATCTCTCTTCTCTTGCATGACGAAAAAGAGAGAGAGAGAGAGAGAGAGAGAGAGAGAGAGAGAGAGAGAGAGAGAGAGAGAGACGTAACGTCGATCTTTAAAAGAGCAAACGATCAAAATCTATTTTTCTTTTTCCTCTTCCGATATTCATTTTGGATCAATAACCTCATATAATCGACGCGAGAGGATCGCCGAAAGACTCAAACAAATATAGAATTTACATAGAAAATCAAAAGAGAAAAAGAGAAGAAGAGAGAAATAAAAAAGATGGAGAAGCTTCGATCTTATCTCCGATTAATTATGGGTTGCCGTGGGTTAGCGGCGAAAGACGGCTCGAGGATAAACTCGTCTTTTAATCCTTCGGACGCCATTTTTCCAACTTCCATTTTCTTTCTACGCCTCTTTGCTTTCTGTAAGATTATTAAGTACGATCGTAGCCTGGATTGAGCGCGGACTGCCTTTTAAAGGATCGACGTCGTTTTAACGAGTCTTTAAGTATTATCGCACGAAAAATCGAGGTGAGATCACGAAAATCCGATAAACTTTATTACGTCGGATAAGATCGAAACGAAGAAAAATGTCAGAGGAGATACTCGAGCTTTACCTTTTATCTATGTAAACGCGATAAACGAATTGTTAGGGAAATTTTTGGAAATTGTAGAAACGTTGTATGTAGAAGCGCTATAGGTATATACCATTAAAATTATTCAAAATATCAAGAAAAATTGTACAAGTTCTATAAAAAAAAAAAAATCTAGGCAAAAATCCAAGTTTTCTTTTTTTTTTTTTTTTCTAGTCGTACGTAAATTCCATGCTATATCATTCTCGATAATAATTCAACGAGACTGCTATCTATATTCGTGGAGAATCCATTCATTCTGTCAGAACGTTATACGCGTTTGCGCGCCTAGACGTAGAGCGACGTAAGCGCGTAAAGAAATTCACGCAAGGATAACTCCTACACGAGAATATTATGATCCGATATACGCTTAGACCTGAAGTGCCGTGTTCTTTCTCTTTTTCATTTTCTCTCACAACGTGTATACAGCACCGTTCGAAAGCAGCGAATACGGGATGCGGAATCGATTCGAGCTCCCTCTCTCTCTCTCTCAATTCTCGAAGTCATTGAATAGGAATTCTCATTGGTGCTCGGTTGCAACTTTATCGGCCGTCACGAGAGCCAACGCGTTATTATTCCTCCTATAGGAAGAGTTTTCGAATGCAAACTGCGAAAAATCTATGTTAGAAAAATCTCTAAAATCGACTTTATATGCCGAATAATCGAGATCGACGATCAATCATTAATGATTTTTTTTCTTTCGAGAACGACCTACCTTATCCTCTGTTGTAATAAAACCAAAGGATAGATACGCGTTATAATTTTCACTCTTGTTTTTCATCGCGACTCGTCGACGCGCAACTTAATCACACTGTAAGTATTTCCGTGGAACCCGTAATCAAGGTGAGAGGAAGATAGATAGATAGAAAGATAGATAGAGAGAAAGAAAGAAGATATACTGTTTAAAGTATACGGGGCGTCGTTCGTTTTTTTTTTCTCTCCTCCTCTCGCCATATTCGCAATCATACAAATTTAACGCCACACTCTTAACGGCGAAGAAAAAATTACTAGTAATTTGCTGTAGCAGACGGCAAATTAGTAGTAATCTGCATGCCTTTCAACGGCCCGGTGAAAATGCTTCTTCGGGGTACCGGATGCGTAGGTCACGCGTCCCTCACCTAGGTCGCTTTTATTTTCCGAAAAGAAAGAGAAAAAAAAGAGGATGAAACAAAAAAAGGAATAAAAAAGAAAAATTAATGAGATTAGATGTAAGAAGATAGTTATCATCGATAAAAAAGTGGGGGGCATTGCGATCGTTTCATTCGCTCTACGGAGGCTGGTTCTAAAGCACGCGCGAGGATGCTATTGAAATATCGTCAATTCAAATCAATTTTGAGAGCACACAGAGATGAAATATTTTGGATTCCCTTAGCACATAAAATTCCTGAGTTCTACGTATATCGAAAAGATCGTACGATAAATAAGTCTCAGGCAGTATGTATTTGAGATTTGTTAAAAAATTTAGGATAAAAAAGAGAGATATACTTTAACGGGAAAGAAGGAAAGAAATAGAAACGCCGGCGGGCATGACGATGCGGCAGTCTTTAAAATCGAACGGAAATCCAGTTTAACCGTCTACCTACGTGGCAGTGACTACTAATAATAGAGCAAAGATACTGGATGGATAGAAATACGACTTCCTACGGCAAGAGTCAGTTTCCTCCCCGACGTCCTAAGAATAACAGGCTTCGTTCGATGCATTATCCCTAGGGTGGAGAAAGAGAGAAAGAAAGAGAGAAAGACGGAGGGAGAGGGAGGAGAGAGAGAGAGAGAGAGAGAAATGAGGCAGTTCAAACAGTGGATATTCCACGAGCACGTGCTTCCACTTATCTTCGACCATAAGTCTCAGCTGACTACGTCGCGTGGGAGCGAGGGAGCCAAAACGTGGTCGATCCTTGCACGACTCATCCTCTTTTCGACGACTCTATTCAATCGGAAAACCTTTCCCCCTGTCTCTCCCTCTCTCTCTCTCTCTCTCTCTCATTTTTGGCTTTTTAAGAAATTGTTCAAAGTCCCCAATGGCACATGCTAGCCATTTCCATCTCCATCTATTTCCTTCGAATTTCTACCGAATCGATAACCGGACGACTAGATCTCTAAAAGATCTATCTTATGAAAGATTTTAATTAATGCCGAACGTTAGATTATTTCTAAGACGATATCGAAAGAAGCTACCTTCTATTTCCTACTTGTTCCTCTTGGATGATCATCTCTTGTTTCGATTCGAGAGAACCGGCAGTAACGGAGCATCGGTTCGATAGCCGATAACTAATTACAACTTTGCAACCTCGTAATACCGGCTTTTTATCCGACCGCGCATTATATACTTAACGAGCAGTAATTAAACGAGACGCGGTCGAACCTCGGCCACTGTTTAATGTCACCTACGTCTTGATATTTTCTCTCTGCCTCTCTCTCTCTCTCTCTCTCTCTCTCTCTCTCTCTCCTCTTCCTTCAACTACACGTCAAAAGTACAATTCCCAAACCACATCTATGATCACATATAAATTTTGCACCGCGATCAATGTTTGTATTTTAACTCTGCGTTAGACGACGTTAATCCTACGGTATATTTACCCGTCCATCATAGTTCGATTCTATTTATTTAACTATCTGCTCGGAGTCTGCTGTTTAGATTTATAAAGAAATAAGTTAAGAAAATGTTGATTAATTACAGAAATAGAGAGGGAGAGAGAGAATTTTGGTGAAATAATGAAACTTCTGGCGATAAACAGGTTGATAAAATGTCGAGGATTTGTAATATTTCGAGATGCCGCCAATAAAAAGATTTGTTTGGAATTTTGATCGTGGATCCTTTCGATAAAACTTAATGAAAAAGTTATTCAAATTTTCAGATCCATCGAAATGGAGAAAATATCGCGTTAATCGTGTAGACGGTTACGATAGGAAACTGGAGACGAGTATTTTTCGAATTCGTAGAATGGAAAAGTCCTGGAGGAATCCTTCTCCGTTTGTGGTAGGAGAAAAGCTCAGGCGTTTCTTACCGAAGGGGTCAAGAAGTCGATAACGAGAGAGTCGATCTCCCGTTACCAAACGATATTACACGAAACCTTCTTCTCTATCGCCATCTTTCTCTGTTCTTTCTACCAGAGGGATTTAAAGTTCCACCTAGCTATTTATTCCGTAAGAAAGCGAATAGGTCGCTCGTAATAACGTTCCTCGCGCATTTTCTTTGGTTCGAAAGAATAACAGATTTATAGGCCGGGCTCGCGAGTCTCCATCGTAGTTACGACTCATTGTTCCATTATCGGTCACGAGCCAAGACCGACGACGTCGTTTTTTCTCTGAATCCATTCGTGATCAACGGAAGCCACAACGATTAAGGCAAACTCTTGAAACTTTCCGCTTCGATCGCTTTCTATATATATATATATATGTGTTTATTTCGTGAGAAATCCTGAAGAAAGTAGTAGTAGTAGTAGTAGAAGTAGAAGAAGAAGAAGAAGAAGAAGAAGAGTCTCATAAGCGAACGACCTTCCTTCGCGAACGAAGGACTTACCTCTTCCGCGAACGATCTCTGCTGCAATGAAGCCCAGCACATGTTGCATGGACACACCTCCTTCTCCTTGAAATTTTCACCTCTCTCTCTTTCCCTAGCACTTAGCTGTGGTGGCGGCGGTGGTACAGGAGGCGGCAAAGGACTGGTAGCAACTTCGAGACTATCCGAACTCGAATTGTGACGTCTCGGAGGTGTTATGTTCGTGGTAACGTTTCCTTGCGATGCTCTCTTCGTTTCGACCGACTTCGAATACGGGGAGGATAAGTAAAGATTCAACATGCACTTGTTCTGCTGAGGTTGCGGCTTCAAAAAATCATCCAGGAGATAGAAACTCTGAGCCCTGCTCGATCTGGTGGTCGAGGACGAAGTAGTCGTCGTGCCGGTTCCGGTAGTACGAGTTTCGGTAGTCTGATCGATTCTACAAAAGCTCTCGCGATTCGTTCTAGCTCTGCACTCGTCCTTGAACTGATGGTGTCTCGCGAGCGAGTGTCTCCCGGTATCCTCGATGATCTCTCGATCGGTAGACGTCGCATTGCCGGCAGCCTCGATAGGTGGTTCCTGATACAATCTACGACTGACCTTAGTCCTGGCAGCCTGCGAGAACTCGCCGTTCTCTCTGTATATATCTCTGGTGACTCGGGATACGCGAGCCGAGTACGAGCTCGGCTGTTGGTATCTCGTAGAGGAGGATTTGCAAGCCGAGCCACGTGGCTCCTCTCTAGAACGCTCGGCCGTGCTGCTCTCGATCATCGAGACGCTCATATTGTGAGAAAATGAATTCTGAAGCGAAGCGCTCGCGTGCGAGGAAGTACCACTTCCTCCGCCAACTGTGGGAGCTCTAAGAAGGGCACCTAGGGAGCGCCATTTCCTATCCTGTTGTTGCGGCTGAGATTGTCCTCCGGTGCTGGCAGCGAGGACATTCGTCGAGCTAGAAGAGACCGAGGACCTGGTCCACTTCCTCTCGTTGCTTGGTGACGTCAACGAGGCATTGTTACCGACGGACCACTTCCGTTCACCCATCGTGGGCGACGTCATCGAGGGCGGCCACTTTCTCTCGTTCGAGGGTGACGCCATCGAGGTGCTCGACCACTTTCGCTCGGACGAAGGCAAGATCGAGGTGGTAACCGAACTCGAGGACCCACCAACACCGTTCAGCTGTTCCTCTCGCTGTCTCGCTTTCCACCAAGATGAGGTGGACGTGAACAATATCAAGGCACCCTTCAACGGATTCTGATTCTTCGAGGAGCCTCCGCTCTTTGGCGATTGCTCTCGATCCTTCGTCTTCAATAATTCGCGAAAGCTCGAGGACTCGCACTCGCGATCGCTGAAAGCTGACGCGTCTCGATCTCTAAAAGCGCTCTTAGCCGCTGCCACCTCCTCCTCGTGATAGATCGTAGCGTTGGTGCTTCGCAAACGAGGCCTGATCCTTACGAAACCGTAATCGTTGCTCTCTTGAATCGCATCGGCCTCGACTCCTCGTTGTTGTTGCTGATGCTGTTGCTGCTGCTGCTGCTGCTGCTGCTGCTGTTGCTGTTGTTGCTGCTGAACGTTGTTACTCGGCTGTTGAAGCGAGGAGCCGCTCTGCCCGGACGAGTACTGATGATGATGATGCTGAGAATGGTGGTGATGGTGATGATGATGGTGGCCGTTAGTAAGCTGCAGGCTCGGCTGTTGCAACAATGTCGAGGTTCTAGCACGATGGCCCTCGCCGACGGTGCTCCTTTGCAGACAGGAGAAGCTCGCGGAGTGACGCAAGCTCGAGGGCGGATTGCTCGGCTGACTCACGCCTAACATCTTTCCTCTTTTCTCTTCTTCTTCTGCTTCTTAGCTCTTTGATCTTCCAACGCGTACGCGAGAGTAGAAGTTGGTAAAACGGAAAGAGAAAGAAAGAGAAAGAGAAAGAGATAGATAGATTGATAGAGTGAGACAGACAAAGAGATAGATAGAGAGAGAGAGAGAGAGAGAGAGAGAGAGAGAGAGAGAAAAGATTCTGTGCAAAAAGAGAAGAAAGAGAAACAAGTGCAGGGAAAGTCTAGAGTCCGTAAACGTTTCCGATGTCTACAGAATGGGAGGAAAAGTGAGAAGAACGAAAGACGCAAAGTTATGACGACGGATGCGACTTAACGGACGACTCAGGTGGGCACGACTGGTGCTGTTCGTTACCCTGGCAGTGTCTTTATCGGTCGTTGCCTCGTTGAAAATATCCAACGACAACCACGACGAGAAGAACCGAGCAAATGCAATTTCTTCAATCGAACGATCTGATGTCCTTCTCTTCTTTCCTTTTTCCTTCTCTTCGTCCGCTCTTGGTACTATTCTCACGTGCATCCTCGACGTCTGACTCGTCGATAAGTAACCCTCGGGCTACGTCATCCTCGATGGCGAACGCGTTCTTCCTGTTTCTTACGTACGACGTCAGGTCGTACGAAATCTGGAACAGAAAGTAGGAACAGGGTAGGGACAGACGGCAACTTAAAAAATGGAAAAGAAAATGTGACTAAGAAAAACAAAAACAAAAAAAATAAAAATAAAGAAAGAAAGGCGAAGCTTACCGAGCGGCATGTAAAAGCAGGGGGGAGACTACTACAAAGGGAGGGTAGGGGCTTAATGGAGGGTGCGAAAATAAAAGTTAAGAATTTCGAAAGACGTGACAGTAACTCCAAATTGAATAAAAAACGTTCTATTTTCATATTTTTTTATTTATTTTTTGTTTATTTAGTATCACGTGATTTCAAAACCCTTAAATCTTTTTTTCATCCACCCTATCCCCTCACGTATATATTATATATATATTATATATATAATATATAGTGTATATTATATATATATATATATATATATATATATATATATATATATAAAATCAGCGAATGAGGGGGGTTTGGGGTGATAGCACTCCGGGATACGATGTATATAGGCTTGATCGTCCATTTGAATTCTGTTCTCACGTGAGTGCCACGAGAGACGATGATAATACGATTTCCGCGGTTCTCCGCAGCGAGAGGGAAGCAAAGGTAGATGGAGATGGATATGATGATGGAAGAGCATGAGGCGATACGCGTTAGAGATCGGTGAAGAATGAAGGACGTTCTGTGGTCAAACCCAAAGACCGCGCTTCCAGATGTCTACTGACGCGAGAGCTCTGATAAGAAAAATTCAATCTGTTTCTAACGTGTAAAACAAAGAGAAAGAAAGAGAGAGAGAGAGAGAGAGAAAGGAGGACGGTGAGAAAGAGAGATTGCACAATCTTCTCGCTCTCTCGCTCTCTCTCTCTCTCTCTCTCTCTCTCTCTCTCTCACTCATCTCCGATTAATTTCGCACTCAAAATCGTTCTAACGAAGGATGATTTTAAGCGGATTCTCTGGCAAAATGCAAAAGGAAGCGGGAAATTTACGGGGTCTAAACTACACGTTAAATGCGAGCTCTTTCAGAAAAATTCTCGAGCAGGAAATGGAAGTGGAATTAAAGATCGGAGAGGAATGCTGCTACTGCTGGTGTTGCTGTTGCTGCCGTTGTTGTTGCTGCCACTACTGTTGATATTGCTGCTTGTTTACGATGACTCGCGAGAAAATGAAAACTTAGCGTTAAATTAGAGCAAAACGGTATCGTCATGCTTCAAACTTAGGACCAACGAATGAGTATATATTAAAAAGAAGCTCAGGAATCGTGGTATAGGGATAAGGAGTGACAGAGTCGATAAAACATCATTTTTAAGAAATATACGCTGTCGTCAAAACTATTATAGATATATACGGAGGTGTATAAGTGTGTTACACATATACAGAACAAAGTTTAATAGTCATTGCTGCTTCGTGACTGTTGAGATATTAATAAATGGACATAATTATTTCCTAATTAACCGAGTCTGGACCGTAATTAATGTAATTAACATTCCTAATGGGACTTCCCATGCAGGTCATTTCTTCGAAGATCCCCGACGTATTCGTGGAAAGAAATTTTCAAGCTTCGTCGAAGCACGCGAGCTCTCTTGCTCTCTTTCTCTCTCTCTCTCTCTCTCTCTCTCTCTCTCTCTCTTCTTTCTTATCTCTCAATAAACTCGTACATTGGCACTCGTTGTCCTGTAGCTCACAGAGAGACCGGCGCGCAGTGCATCTCGAGTGTTACTTGAAACTTTCCTCCGTTAATTAATTAATTAATTAATTAATTAAGGCTCGTCGATATACTCGTAAGTTACGTTGTTGTTAACATATCTCCTTGTCTTTTTAAAGGGAAAAACGTATTGCAACAGAGCTCGTTAAAACGATCGTTAAACGTTACCAAATCTGTCATGAAACACGATCAATTGTTAATCGTCTACAGCCGAGATAAAACGAAAGATGACTCACCTAAAAGATTTCAATGGGTCTCTTCTTCGATGGAAGAAATTGAAACGTTCGTTCGTTCGTTCGTTCGTTGGCACGTGGCGATTAGAAAATCCTTCGTTCTTGCCGGAATGTAGGGTAGTTAAAGGTGGGGGCTTTACAAGTTTCTAAGATCGACGCGACGTCTCCTTCCTTTCCCCTTTCCTTTTTTACTCTTTCCTTCGGTCATGAATCTCCCGCATTCTTTCTGATTTACAAGGACAATGCTAGAGGCTCGTCGGTTTTCTATCGTTACGTTAAAGTTACGAGACCGGTCGCACGACTCGCAAGATTTCTCGGAGTTTACGTTTGTCTCCCGCGCGTCTATTACGCGTCTTACCAATGGAACACAGTGAAAGGGTTTTTCAAGGCGGGAAAAGTGAGTGACACCCACACGCAGCAACAACTTTTGCCCGTGTCGCTCTGTTAATGCAAAAGGCAAGGCCGTTCGTGCGAATAAAAGTTCACTGCGTTATTGCGAAATCTATCGTCTGTTGCAACAATAATGATGTGTAATGAGATACCAGGAGGAATCTCGGAGCAAAACGTATTTCGATTCCGTCCATAAAGATAGCAATTAGATATCGTTAGGTATTTCATACGCCGCTAGGCGATACAGACGATACAAAGTGCAATCCTCTTGATCGAATCAATTCCAATAGGTTTCTTCCGAGATCGTTTCGAGCCTGCTTCGTAGCGAAGCAAATGAGATTCGAACGAACTCTCTAGACACGGCATCGTACTACCTATTCGAGTTCGTTCCTATCGAACGGAATAAAAAAATCAAGGAGGTGGATCGGCTCGTTTGAAATAAAAAGCCTGACTCATTTTAACGAGTCAGTCGATGCACTTCGATGAGAGGGAGAGAAAGAGGGAGAGAGAAGGATATCAGGAGGAGGAAGGTTCATGCATATGCATGTATCGACGCGACCGCCTTATACGCGACTCGCCAAACTCTCACCTCGCATTGTTTCGTTCCTACACATACACACGCGCGCGCGCGCGCGCGCGAGATTTCCAGCAACCGACTAACATAAGCGAAAACGCAGTCCTTCCCCCTCCTCCTCCTTTTCCTCTTCCACTCCGCATATAGGAATGCCAACGTAATCTAGCATTTGCGCTCTGGATAGTTCGAGCCAACCCGGTTAACGTAATTGCACGGAATCTTCGGCCGTAACTAATTGCACGGAGGGTTGTACGTAATAAACACGGACGAACAACAAACGACGCGGTTCCTACGCGCATTGCTTAAGATTTATTGTGAAAGAAATTTGAAAGCTCTTCCTCTTTTCCTTCTCGTTATATTCGTTTTCTTCGTAAGTCAGCTTAGCTACCTAGTGGATTAATTAATTATGAAAGGCGACGCTGTTACGTGATATCGTAGGAGAGGATCGAAAGATAAGGCGATAATCGTTCGAGCAGAAATTGTTTTAATCGAGAAAGATTATCGATGATCGATGCGAGAAAGCGACTTTGATCGTTCGTTTAAATCTAAACTGGATAAATCTATACAAATGATATACGATGAGGCATCGATTATTAATCGTCTGTCTCGTAACCTAGTCGTTCTGTTTTATTCGCAATGATTATTACTACTCGTTGAGAGCTTTAATTATTTAAAAGGTTTCAACTACGGAAGAGGAATATTTAAATATATAATATATAGAAAGATCTGAGTTATCGGTTTATCGAAGAGGCAACATGTGAAAGCTTCGTACGATATCCTGTACGAAAATAAAGAAAAAGCGGAAGCGAACAAACCATGTGAGTCAGTGTTATCGACCAACGACGGAGAACCATAAAGAACGAGCCGAATTCTCTGATTACAATCACGCAATGAAACAACGCCGATCACGTCTCGTAATAAACTTTTTATTCGACACCCTTATGAGATACACATGCGTTATAAGCTCAACGTGACACGCAACTAGACGTGAGAACGAGGAACACATCGAACATATTTCCATCCTTTTTATTCGATATGAGAAAATGTGTCGTATAAATTTATCAAAGCTTTAATATCGTTAGCGAAGCTCCTTATATACGATAAAACGACGAATCTCAATTATAAGAATTTCGAGAGAAAAGAAGAAAGCAACGGATTAAAGACGCGACTTGGGCCATGCGAGATTCTCTAAGAGCATTGGTACGCTTCGGCTCAAAGTTTCCGACCGAACGATAATCGCTTCTTGGTATGCCGAGGTAATTAGGAACAATAACGATAACTAGTACGGAAAGCGGAACGAACGAGCCATGTTGAAACGGGTAAACTATAGGGACGAAGAGCGTGCAAGTAGAATGTGGTAAGACGATTATGGTGAAGAACTTTACGAGGATGGCGCTTTTAAGATCGCTTTAAGATCGATCTTTGGAAATAATCTATAATACGTAGGGACAACTTTTCCTGGGATAGTCATATCACCGAGTCTCATTTTCATGACGAATGCTTGTACAAAATCAGTTCCGTCTTCAACCGATTATTAGTCATTTTAATAAGCGTATGAATCTTTTAATAAGCAATTATTAGAATTTTAATCAATTATCTTTATAAGCGAAATATACTCTGTATCGTTGTTAATTAGTAAATTATTCTTTATCTAGTCATTAGAATTAGTTCGCATTCGATTATCGTATTCCTCTTCGAATCGCTATAATTAATATTGTACGAGAGAAGAAGATTTTAATTATATATAGTCGGTAGTAAGATACCGACGTGTTCTCTTGAAAATTAGGCAACAGACTTATAATAGATGAATTGAATCGTGGAAAATGTGTGCCGCTCATTATATCGGACCGCTTCAAAAATGTCGAGATGGGTAAGCAACGAAACAATGCCATAATAGCACTGTGGGAAAGAGTCCGTCATGATACGTCCTGACGATGGGGTCACATGGCACACGTTTATCTTTCTAAATATAAAACTAATTATCCGTGTTCTAACGTATTCGTACTTTTAATCTCGAAATTGCATAATCATAACAGCTACGTTCCCGGTCCACCGCGCCCAAGATATACGAGTTTAATTAGTATAACGGCTGCTACTTAGAAATGTTCTTAAAAGGCATCTTAT